TCGGTGCTGCAGGTTTGCACTGACACTAGTCTGCCTCATAACACCTCATAGCATGTGGAAACAGCCGTGCTCTTCCACTGTATATATGGACACCATGTCTCTAAGGAGAAGCAGTGTGACTGCATCATCATCATCATCATCATCATCAGTTTTCCATGGTGTCTCTTTGTTGTCATGGTGATGCAGAGTGAAGAGGATTCCTCTAATGTTGAGGTGTTGGTGGGCTGTAGCGGTCTCATTTCTCCCACTCGGCTGCACGCCTCTGTTTAAGATGTTGATGTAAATTGGTCAGACTGCTGCCTTCTGCTGAAACAGCCTTTGAACAAACACTGCAGCAGACTGGGGTTTGATCCAGGTCTGAGTCTGAGAGACTGAACCAGGTCTAAAGGACTAACAAGACAGACTTTTTTAGGGAGCAGAAAAGTCTGTTTTTGACCATAACTATCATGGCTGTCATTAGGTTTAATTAATACAGGTACACATATTGATTCTCCATGTTGATATTATCAGGACTCATTATTGATACCTCACTTCATGATTTAGTTTAAACATTTAAAAAAGTCAAGAAAATATCTTCAAAGAAGAATCTGTTTTATTTCCTCTGACTCCAAATGTTTCTTTCTGCATGAAACACACAAACTAGAAAAATTCAATGTTATTTTCATAGGAGTCATGAGAACGTACGCCCCCTAGAGTTACATGGAGAAAAACCTTTCATTGTGAAAACAAAGAAATCTTCAACTCTTCAAATGTTCAGAGTCAAACCAGCTCTAACCTGCTGAAAAACGATTTGATCTGAACCAATCATAGAAAAAGGAGCTGCTGCTGTGATTTAGTGAGTCGTCCTCTGATTGGTCAACAGTCAGTGTCTATGGAAAGACTTACATTACAGCAGGATGTCAACATTAAACACTGAGAGGAGCACTGATTCTCCAAGAGGTACTTTGGATACTAACCAATCACATACCAGGACCAAAAACCTGGTTCTCAGTCCCCTTCTCCAACCAGAACTCAAGAATTCACACAATCATAATGATCCAGCTGCACTAACATGAAGACAACACTGTTAGAGAACAGAATGACTAAAATAAGTCATGGAGTCATTTGTCTTGAACATCTGAACGTTTTTTTCTTCTAAACTTTGACTTCCTGTCTTCTCTCATGGCTGTGGTCCTGGTATTAGTATCTGCCTGGTTAAAAACAGGCCGTCTGTCAAACCAAAGATCATGTTTCAGTTGTTTTTGGTGAAGAGAAACATCAAATTACCCTTCAATGAAATATTGTTTGATATTTATTTTGTTACAGATTTTCTGACTGTGGACTCTCAGAGACTCACTGTGAAGTTGTGGCCTCAGCTCTGAAGTCCAACCCCTCCCATCTGAGACATCTGAACCTGAGTAGAAACAAACTGCAAGATTCAGGAGTGAAGCTTCTCTCTGCAGGACTGCAGACTCCAAACTGCAGACTGGAGACTCTGATGTGAGACACCATTTCCTTCTGATCTAACAATAAGATGTGACAGCTGCTGCCTTAGATTTTTCTCTGTGGTTTTTCCATCAACTTGAGTCGAGCAGTTTCAATTTGTCGTTGTAAAACTTCAACACAGGAAGAAAAATCTGACATTTCAGAGTTGACTTCGAGTAGAACGATGGATGTAGAAAGGAAGCAGGAGAAAATCAGTCCCACAGATATTACACATGCTTGTAGAGGGCAGGAGCAGCACAGACTAAAGGCTGATATTGAACTGATCCACAATTAATGTGATCACTAATGAATGAATGAAGTGTCAGAGAAATGATGAGCTGCAGATTGAAACCTGAAGAACAAAGTTAATCCAACTCTGGATATTTCATTTGGAAACTCTTGAAAACTTGAATTTCTTCTTTGCTCAGTCGTGTTCAAATGTAAAAACCAGATCCAGATTTTTCTGCAGTTTTCACTTCGGTTTGTTGAACATTAACATCATCTTGTCCAGTTGGTCCATAAAAACCTCTCTGATCAATGATCTGTTGGTTTATTTAAGAGTAGTTTGGCAGTTGTTGACAGCAGACAGACAGAGCCCTGAATAAACTCCTGACTATTTTAATCTTCATGAAGAATTCAGGACTACAAGAAAACCTTTGAGATTTCTCACATTAGTTTCTCAGGATCTCACTAAAGTTTTCATTTTCTCATTTGAAAACTTCCACAGGATCTTCAAAAAGTTTATAGAGGATTTTACAAAGTTCCTCAAGATCATCTCTGAAAAAGTTCTTCTTCCATGTCCTTCAGGGGCTCAAGAACATTGAATCATTAAAAGCAGGAACAGTTTCTTCAGAGGTTCAATGATTTTTTCTTTTTTTCAGACTGTTTTACTGCAGGTTGTCAGAGATCAACTGTTCTTCTCTGGTCTCAGCTCTGAAGTCTAACCTCTCCCATCTGAGACATCTGGACCTGAGTGGAAATGATCTCCAGGATTCAGGAGTGAAGCTGCTGTGTGACTTTCTGCAGAGTCCAAACTGTAAACTGGAGACTCTGAAGTAAGTTTAGTCTTTGTCTGTTTCTGGTGTAGATTTTTATGTTTATTCAGTTTTTTTTAACCCAATTCAAATGTTCACAGACTTGTTGAATATTTCCAGAACTTTCTTCTTACTCACATAAATTCATAGTTTTTATTGAATCAGCAGTCAGATACAGATGGAGGAAAATGAGCACTGTGAGTCATTTTGTTGATCGAATGTTGATGATTTTTTATAAATGGTTCAGATGATCACTGCAGTGATGTTGACGGGTTTACTTCCTGTGTCTCTAAAACATTCAAATGTTCAAGGATGCAGTGAACTCACTATCCATGCAGCTCAGGAACACAGCTCATCTTTAGAAACACAGGGAGGTCCGCTCAGTGTCCTGGGTGACTCAGCACATTTAGCTCTCTCTGAGCTCTTCTTGGTTGAGAGTATTTCTGGTTTGTCTCTGACTTCCATGAACTCAGATCTGGAGGATTGCTGGCTGGTCCGGTCCAGTGCTGACAGTAGAGACAACACAGTCTGTTATTCTGGGTTGAGTGTTCTTGTTGAAGATCAGTGTACAGTGAGGGATGAAGGCAGACAAAGATCCTCCTGTTTCCTCCATGTCACAGTTCAAGTTCATTTTGAAGACTTTGATTGATCCGTGCGCTGAAGAGGAACAGGAAACGTGGAGTAGAGAGTGAGGAAGGACTTACAGCAAAGGATCATGGGAGTCCAACCAGCAACTGCTGCAACAAGGACTCCACCTTCTGATCATTTAAACCTCTAATCCAAACCAGTGCTCCATCACATTTGATGTCTTGTCTGTTATTTTACATGGAGGGTCAGAGCAGACCAGATCATGAGCTCTGACAGACTCGATCTGGTCCAAAGGTCTCCTGTTGGAGTTCCCTAAGCTCAATATTTTAAACCTGAACACGTGAAGTTTGATCATTAATTATTTTTATCTACATTCTCTATCCTTTTTTCAGACTGTGGGACTGCAGGTTGTCAGAGGTCAGCTGTTCTTCTCTGGCCTCAGCTCTGAAGTCCAACCCCTCCCATCTGAGACATCTGGAGCTGGGTGAAAACAATCTGCAGGATTCAGGAGTGAATCTGCTGTGTGACTTTCTGCAGAGTCCAAACTGTAAACTGGAGACTCTGAGGTCAGACTTTTTTCCTCCATTCAAACATTATCATGATTTGTTTGTGATGATGACACTAAACTGCTGACTCAGGACTGAAATACTGACCCAGACTGAACACCTTCAGTCCAGAGTAGATTTTCTGCATCAGTGGATTATTTGATTGACTCCAGTTAGATCACTGCTGAGCTCCAGTGAATTAAAACCTGAACCCAAGAAGAAAACTCTTTGTAGAGTTCACAGTGAGAAGCACATTCAGACAGAAAACAGAAGCAGGGGGAGATTTTTCAGACGAGAACCATTCTTTTGAACCAAACTTTTGTTCAGGACAAGATCAGGGAATAGAAAAAACTCAGAGTTTAGTTTCTGACTCTGATGAATGTCCAGCTCTGTTACTTTGAATTTTGATTGTTTTTGAATCTTTGTGTGAAAATCTGAATTTTATGTTTTTTCTGCACTTTTCTGAATCCTTGCTGTGTTTAGACTGAAATATTTACCTCTCAAAGACGTGATATTTTTAGTTCAGCAAAGTGAAAATATTCTGAACATCCTTTATTTCCCATCCGTCCTGAAGTCGCTGACATTTTCTGAAAATATTGATCTGCATCTCCAATCAGTAAAAAAGTCTCTGAGTTTGTTTTTCACTATTTCATGTGTTTTTGAATTCACTGTTTCAAACTGACTTCCTGTTTGGTTCAGCTCTTTGGAGCGTCACTTTTCTTTGATTCATACTTTCCAAACCTTTCCCCTGAACTCTACAGATTTAAGACATCAGGTTTCAAACTGGATCATTTTTGTCTAAAATCTCATTATTTCCTCTTTATTTAGGTTGGGGAGCTGCAGTTTGACAAAGATCAGCTGTTCTTCTCTGGCCTCAGCTCTGAAGTCCAACCCCTCCCATCTGAAAACTGTGTGGCTGAGAGACAACAATCTGCAGGATTCAGACGTGAAGCTGCTGTGTGATCTTCAGGAGAGTCCAGACTACAGACTGGAGACTCTGAGGTCAGTCTAGAGTTGGAGTTAGTCTGTGCTGATCTCTCCTGTTCCTCTCCACACAGTATCACAGCAGATATTCAGTATTTCCTGCTGACTCTTCGACCCTCTCAGAGGATTATTTCTTTAGTGAAGCTGTGAGAACAGAAATCATCAAACCAGGAGTGTAAGAGTGTCAGTCATGAAAAAAGTGTCTCCTCGTCTCTATATTTCAGATCAAATGTAGAAATGAGACATAATGAAACAGAAATGTTCAGTTTCTGCTCTGAAGTTGAGTTTATAGTTCTCTGTATTCAACACAGACTTTATTTCTCTGCTAACTTGTTGATTTTGACCTCTAAGTTTGAAAACAGACAGCTGTTCTTTATACTTCTTATTTTCACAGCAGGTTTGTTACTTCAGCTTTAACACATTTGACAGGAAGGATTTCTTTATTTTGATGATGTTGGTTTATTTGTGAGGAAACCTGCTGCTTTACACCATCACTTCTGGTCTGAGCAGGACTGAGACCTGCTGGTCTGTAAACTGGATGTTCTTCAGTCCAGCTGATGAAGTGAGTCTCAGAGTGGAAACACTGATCGTCTTTTTTTCTCTCCTCAGGTGGAGTTAACATCTGTCAGAGTGATTAAGAAGAGGATCATGTGTTTCCTGATGATCAGAGAGGTGGAGGCAGCAGCAGTGAGGGTGAGGTGAGTCTCTGACTGGGCCGTGTTACTGAGAGACTGACTGACCAATCACAGCGGGCGGAGAGGACTCTGGGAGCTGCACTTTGACCTGCTCTGAGATCAGCTCAGGACCTGGACTCTGGATATTTGATATTTTCCCTCATATTCTGGGATCAAACAGTCTGAACAAGTTTGTTTTGTTTAATATTCTGATAAAATAAAGGATTTCATAAGATAAAACATCAAAACTGTTCAAATGAAAGACATAGTTTTAAATAAACACATTTAAACATGAGAAATGAACAATAAAAAAAACAGGTCATCCAATAAATAAAGAAATATCTATCAAATCATAAAACTTCATAGAGAGTTGATTCAGACAGAGGAAAAGGTCTGATACAAACAGACGTTGTGAGTTCGATCTGAAGACAGGAGCTTTTAATGTCTCTTTATTTGGGCTTCATGATATCTGAGGCAAACTGAGCGTATCCGGTTTCATACAAAGGAAGGTGATTATGAACGAGTCTGAGAGTTTTATTGAAAAAAGTTTCTCTCCAGATCCAAACAGAGTGACGAACACCTGTATACCTGTGACTCATTCGGCTTCCAATGGCAGCTGAGTGACAGTTCTTCTCCCCGCCTTTAAGAGTTTCATCCTGTTCTTTGAAAACTTACATTGACTCCAAACAAAAACCTTTTGTACTGGGATAATTGTTTTGCCATTTCTTACTTGATCTCATGAATAAATTTTAATGCAGTTTCACATGAAGCTGCACAAGGCGGGAACATCACAGAGCAAAATGATTTCAACATATTTACTCTGTTTTATGAAGGAAATCTACTGCACAAGTGTGTCTTTGCAGGTCTGTTCAAATGACATGCTCTTCCAGGAGTGACCTCTTGGTGGCGCCAGCGGCTACAGTATAAATGTCGTCTCACAGGCCCCCTTTATTTCTTAACTCTGCCGGAGAGAGAGTAAACAGCTGCTGAATACTTTTTACTCCCCCCCTGCTCTCTTCATTCATAAACACTGCCTCTAAAAATGACAGATCAATCCAGCGGTTGCCACCACACACCCTCCAAAATATTTACTCAAATCAAACACAGCACCTGAATTTTATCGCACCCTCACTGTGTTGCCCGGGGACGTCACCATAAACCTTATCGTCTGCTCTGAGCTCATCACCTCGACCATCTGCTCTCACTTACAGCCAGCAGGACCAGAAACTCACTCAGGTAGATTCAGCACAGAGAGAGAGAGAGAGAGAGAGAAAGAGTGAGTCCATCTCTTTATTGGAAACAATGTCATGAATTGTGAAACTGACTTTTCAAAACCGAGTTGTAAAGTGCTCTACGACATGAAAATAGAGTAGAAATAGAGAGAAGAATAAAGATAGGAAAAGCGCTCGGTATTTCCGCGATTTTTCTTCATTTCCTGAAACCAGCAAACCAGCATTGCGCAGTAGCGTTGTACGCATTCAGCGGGAGAGTCGCTGTGATGACGCTCGGCTCAAACAGCTTATCGCCCGGGTGAGCTACGCAATCCTTCAACGCCCCTAGGCTGTATCAAGTGTCAATCACAGAAAACATGAACCCCCTAATAACAAACCAGTCTTACAGTAACTACATGTCAACATCGCAACCAGGGGGAGAAACCCATAAGCTTTGCTGGAGGAGGCGGGATTTATGACCTATACTGCAGCCCGTCACCAGAGGGTGCTGTTCTCGGAGTGGCTTCACCCTGTGAGGAGGCAGACGGCGTCCATTCTACATACAGTCTATGGTTAAAACCCATGAAAATTAGTTTTAAGTGAGTTTTAAAAAAGGTTCTGTGTCTGATCTCTTCAGGTGGTTTGTCCCTGAGAGAGGGGCCCCTGACTGAAAAAGCCCGGCCCTCTTTGGTCTTCACTCAGCAGCAGACCCTTGGACAACTTAGATCCAGATATGCGGCTTTTCCCGTCTCCTTTTTTATATATTTATATATTTAGAGAGAGAGAGGTTTTGGAGGGTGGCTAACTAGGAAATACGTTGACCTAAAAACATTTCTACAAGGTCCAGGTGAGAATCAGTTTATCGACATGCCACCTCCACTACACTAGGTGGCGATATCTCCCCTTTTAGCTCATTACTGAATCTCCTTGACAAACAAAACGTAAGTTGAACGATTAACACGTCAACAGATTTACAGCTCTGCACCTTTTGTACGACGGATGTGCAGTTTCAGTTTGACTAACACAAAAACATTTTTGAGTGAGTTAGTCGTGCAAATGTCCTGTTAAAGTCATGGTTGACGATTGAGGAGATTGGTAATTATTATTAACCTCGTTTCTATGGCGATCATGGTCCTATAGTGCGATCTCCACAAACTGAAGAGAAAAAAGAACGGAAAAAATCTGTTCACTCTAGCCGGTGCAGGATTGCAAAAATATTGACCAATAGGAGCCATCCGTCCCAGACAGCTCCTATTGGTCAATCTCCTGCTCCGCCTCTCCATCCAATTACCTTGCTGTATGTGGTAGAATGAAAATGAAAGCTTCAGTCTCATCCTTGTTTGAATATCACTTTAAGGGGAAGAGAGATGAAATACTAATAATGCCAATAATTTAATGATTTTAATTTGCCTTTAGTGACAAGACTTCAGGACCACATAACCAAGATTTTCAGTTCTGTCTTTAAAGGTGAACAACGTACAATAATGCCTCTGTAGTCGAGTCGTGAGTTTCATTCAGTGTTTTCTGCATCAAGTCAATCAATCTTTCTATCTTTATCACAAAATCAATCTCTATGTGAAACTGGACTCCAAACCAGATCAATAGGTACGACTGACACAACAGGTCCTCCACAGATCTTAAATAACAGCAGCCTGAATGACCCATTTAGACTCACTTGTGATTATGCAATGGTATGTGTAACAGAATAGCAGAGGGAAAATGTTTTCACTGAACCGGACCCACCCGGATCAGATGTTCCCTGTGTCATAATATGGCGTTATTAGCTTCTGGGATATAGTGAGGGCGTCTTTTCACATGCAGGAGTTTGACGAGGCAGATCACTTAACACTAATTTGTAAAGCTACCTGACAGACCGCACGGCTTCGGTGGTTGAATGTTTTTTTTTTCTATTTGTGGGTCAGGCTTCTGTCATTATTTTCTCGATATGAATTGTACGTACGTGTGTGAATGTAAAGACTCTAACCTGACTTTACCAGGATTGAATAAAATGGCAGAGAATCATTTGCGAACGCCACAACACTCCTACTTACCTCTTTCTTTGCGTTCTATAACTTCTTTTTATCATTTTAGAATGGCGATATACCCTCATCTCAAAACAAATTTCTCATGTTTCTGATTTATTTTCTTTACATTTTTTTGCATTTATGTTCACATTATTTATCCTTGTTAATAAGTTTTGTCTATTTTGTATTTTAGGCGTGTGTTTGTTGGGGTTGTGTGTAGGAGTAGGGTGACATACATGTTATGTATGTTAATGTATTTAAATGCGTCCTGAGTTCTATGTGTGTTTTTTTTTATTTTTTATAGGGACCCCCTTGAAAATGAGATGCTACATCTCAAGGGGTTATTGGCTGTAATTACTCGTTAGGGTTCCTTATTTACCTCAAGAGAGACTCTTCGGGGTCTGAAACCAGCTTGGATATCATGGACAGGTCAACAGTCAATCACAGACAACCCTTTGGTATCCACCTTTATGTGCCTGTAAGTTACCTGCCTTCACATCTCACTATCTCCCATGAGAAAGTGACATTGGAGACACATGATACACCTGCGCTCAGCTCTGGAGAATGCACTTGTATAATAAGTATATGACAGGAATGTGTGGGAAACGCACCAGTAAAGAGATTAGCAAACAGAGCTGTAAACAATACAACACGGTTTTTACCTGCCAGAGAGAGAACGGCTTTAAACACAGGGTGGGATCGATTAATTCTCTTTTACAGGCAAATAAATCTCATCTGGAGGATTTCTGGGCTTTGGGTCCGACTCTTGAATCCACTCCTGTCTGTTTTGCAGCTATGTGTGAGATCTCAGTGCATTCCTTCCCCAGTGTTGCCAGTAAGGTGATTACTGAGTATCATTTCCTCTAGCTGTGGAAACCCATTTTCTGGGTCAGTGGACCCCACCAAAGGACTGATTGAGTCTTAAAAGAGGCTCCGTCAAGCATACGTTTGCCCTCCTTGTACCCCGAGACAATAAGCCCAACTGCTGCATTAGTGGGAAATGCTGTAACATCAGAGGGGAAAGGGCACCACAGTCAACAAGACAACCATCAAGCAGAGCCTCAGTCTGATTTATGCTCTGTTTCCACCGTGGTTTGGACCTGTAGCTGTTAAAGAAAAGCTGTGATGTGATCATCAAGCTCAACCACTTTAGTCTTATTGTTGTAAATGTTGAGGGATGCATTGAGTAGGAATGGGATTGATAAGATTTTATCGATATCGATGCCATTATAAAGGAATATTCTGAATTCCCAAAGACAGTGCAAGTGTGCGTCGCGTCAGTGGCTTTGCTGAGAAGTGAGTGGAGGGGTAGAGCTGCAGGGAGCACCGATGCGCTGCACTGTTTTATAATGAATGAATACACATTCTGGACATTTGAAGGACATCATAAACTCTCCCCAAACAGCCCCCCCAAACAGGACATGTCCGGGTAAAAGAAAACATATGGTCACCCTATCATTTGTACCTTCAATGCTGTGCGGAGACGTGGCAGCGGCGGCGGCTGACGACTGGTGGAGAGCATCATGACTTCTTGTATTTGATGCCGTACCCCGTTGAAAAATGTCGAAGCATGTTGCTGGTGTTTCCACCTTTGCATGTTTTCATTGCTCAACAAACATTGCACTGTTGCCACACTTTAGATCGTCTCCGCCGACTTTTCGTACCGTCCGCCATGTTTTTTTCTCTGTCTCTGTTCCCGTTCGCGTAGACTGGCGCTCGCAAGACCGTTTTTCAAGACACCCGGAAGAAAGGAACTGTTAAGGGAATCGTTAAGATAAATTGTAAATGATGTTGATGGATTGAACCATTTGGAACCGGTTCTCGATTCTCATCCCTAGTGTTGAGTTCTAGTAAAGCTCGGCATCTTTATCGGGAGCTGAGGCCAAGGTCCTCTGAGAAGGCGACCTGGTCTCATGTCTTCCCCTGGCCTGTCCACCGTCCTGCGTC